AATTTGGTATTTATATTAAAATTGCATACATTTTTTGACATCTGTTAAAAAATGATGTAGGTATTTTTTGTGATCTAAAGGAATTTAATTTTCTAGTTCTTTCAAAAATATATTTATATAATTATAAACTCCTATGGCCAGTGCCATCATTGGGATATTGTTATCTGTATAGTTGGTAAAAAAATAAATAGTACATTTTAATAACATTATAGTAAAATATATACACATTTTTCTATAAATAATTGATTTGTGATTACGTTTATAAGTCTAAATCTAAAGTAGGTAGTAATCACCTATCTACCTATCTATGCGACTAGTTACAAGATCTATATAATAAAATTACGTTAAGAAGTATTTTTAAAAAATAAAATTTATTTAATTTAACCTATTTTAAGATAAGATTAAGGAATATTGTGATTCACACATATTATTAGCCTTTAGAATTCAAATATAAATTTAATTTTCCTATTACAAATCGTAAACAGCTTAAAGAATACTTTGATAAAGATGTCTGAGATGATTCTGGTTAGTCATCATTATGGCTGGGAATATAATGCCCTAAAAAATTTAAATATGGCACTTGTAAATAGGTAACACTTTATTTTTTTAATTTTAACAAGTTTTATATACCTACTAAAAAATATTTTTTATTTAATTTTAAAATTAATTATTGTAGTAAAGCATGGTTTCAAGCTTTCTATATAGACTTGAATAGAAACATAGAATCTGAAAAAAAAGAATTATTCCCATTTAATTTCCGTCAGCACTTGTAAATTGTAATCTTGATTTTTACTTCGTATGATCCGTACTGATCCGTTCAAAAAAATTACCATTTATAATATTCGATTAGGTAAAAACTTTAAAAAATAATAGCACGTTTCAAAGGTTTTTTTTGCATCAAAATCTCAGCCTTATACCCAATATTAATTTTTATTATAAATAATATTTTTACTATTACCCAATAAAACGATTAGTTACCTAGGTACTGGAACTAAGTTATATCCGACCTAATTATTATACTTTATATTATATTTAAACCGTTAGTTTTTATCCAATATTTGTTTATTAAATGTTGAGAAATCATACTAGTATACCTAATACATAAGATGTACAGGTATAAAATAACTAAGTGTTATAAATGATAGTGATCGAAGTCCAAAGTTTGAATTCAATATTTCAATGTTTACAGGAATAAATTAACATACCTATGTAATATGTATAAATAGAAACAACAGAATTATAAATCAAGAACACTCAAATATAACACAAACACATTAGTTAACACAATAATAGTTTTATGTATATATTGTATATAATCAATTATAGAGTCTATAAAAAAAGTCTACTTTTCTATAGGTAAAGGTATAATATATATACCGATATTCTAATACCTACCAAAGATATTACACAGACACAGACACACAGTACAAAGAAGCCAGAACTCATAACACAGGTAACAAATATCTCAAGTTTCATTTGGTTTCAGTACTTTGAATACAGTGAGTTTAGTATATAAAATATATTTTCACCAAAAATACATAAATCATAAATTATAATAATATTTTTAAAAATTTGGCATGGTTGGGAGCAGTGGTTGGCTTCATTCACTAACTTGTTCTGAGGTCAAGCACCAGCCGGTGTCGCTAGTTCCTGGATGGGTGACCCCTAGAGCTTATATAGTGTTCCCCCACAGTATAAAAAAAAACCGACTAAAAACAAACGTCAGCCTAATGACCTCAGATGCTGAAGCTTAAAACATAGGCTTTGAGAAATTTAAACATATGATTGGGTGAACTGTACCCAAGCAGAGGAAGGAAAAAGAAGAAGTCTAGTGTTATGGAAAGGGAAGGGCCGTCAAAAAAGGATATAGGTACTGGAGGTTTCACGGTGTTCTTCAATATGGAATCGCACAAGGGAAATTAATTGAAAGAGAGTAAATACGAATGGGGAATATAATATACAATAAAAACTTGAAATAGATTGAAGTAAATTTAAAATGACGAAAAAGATATTGAACATTTTTACTAGCCACATTGAGTTATTTTTTGTTAATATTTTATTTTTTAGATTAGTATGTAATACAGTTTATGCCTACTTGTAAATATTAATTAATTAATTTTAGAGAGTATAAGTATAACATTCACAAAAAAAGTAGGTACCTAAAATACATAAATACATAAATTATAATTGGAGGTGAAATATACATATAATAATATATGAGTGAATAAATGTCGAGGAATTCATCCCATTCTACAAACTGAAAACGATCATTAGGTGTAAAGTATCGTATAATTCGCATTATAATTATTTTATATTATATTATTTTTATTTCAATAGTATGAAATAACGACGGCTGAATAGAATTGCATGGATGTTAGTGTAACAGTAAAGGTTGGACATAAATACAATAATATACATACCTATATACATAATAAATAATAAGTGTATAACATAACTCATAAGCTTGGACAAATTACCAACTTGTCTACAGACTACAAGTACCTATCTACGGAAATATATTATCACTCACACATTCAGTGAAATACTTACTATACAATTATACGGCCGCATGCTTGTTAGTGGTAAGTAAATAGTACGTAGCATCACCACAGGCCTCTTGTACAGTGTGCAGGAGGCAACAATTACGTATATCATTATAGATCATAACTCAATAATTAGAATATCTGTTCCACATGTAGATTCAGAAGGAAGGGCTATGGGTGTTTGAGCACCCCCTGTTGTCTAAACCACCAATAAAATACATTTTTATAATAAATTACGTAATCTAAAACAGAAAGATATAACCAATTTTTCTTTTTTGTTGAGCACTTCCTACTATATTTTTCTGGATCGGCGTCTGATCTGTTCTATTTTAATACTTTAGAGTTTAGACAGACTACAGAATCCTCGCTTAATCCTGAGGTGACGATCTAGAGCGGAAATGAACTGCAATATAATATTATGATATATCCATGGGCGGATAGGCCTACCGGGAAACCGGACATTTCCTGGTGGGCCCCTAATTCTTATTTCGCCCTTTTTATGGTTAACGCAATGACTCATTAATATTATATTAATATTATAATACTATACAATTTCAATAGAAATTTGAAATATTTTATTACCTGTATTATAATCTTATATCTATAAATTTATTACTATTCTGTGGTATTTTACAAGAGATTTCTTATCGCCTATCGGCCCGCAGCCGCCACTCTACTACAACTACAACTACAACTACAACGTCTATTACCGGTTGGCGGTGGGTAGTGGTCACGATTGTGAGTATTGGGACTGTTAAGGTGGGTAGTAACTCACAAATATTCTGAAAATAATCTAAAAGATATTCTGAAAAAAATTGATTCTGAAGACATCATTAATAAATTAGGAGCTATAGGAGCCCAGTATTTGGTAGAATGTTATTTAAAAAATTAAAAAATAAACAAATGATTTTTAAAATGTGTTTTGTTGTACATTGTTTTCTTTTGATATGGTAGCTCATATAATTCCCCTAATAATATACTTGTGAGCGAAGTGAGCTTATTTTTTTTTCATGTGGGCCAGGGGGCCCCTTTTAATAATTTCCCGGTAGACCAAAAATGGCCTATCCGCCCATCGATATACCCAATATTATAATCTATATTAGGTTTTAGGTAAGTATATAATAATTACGAAAGACCCATTTTAAAGCAGGTCCACTCCTGTGGCAGGGGTTAGATTATAATATTATGTTTATAATATTATATATTGTTATGTCAAACACTCAAACGTAAACTTAACTTTTCAATCAATGGATCTGGAGTATACAGATTACAGATAATTTGAACAAAACACGAACACTAATGTAATACTATAATATCATATAGGTAGGTAGTTATATATATTATATATTTATATATGTTTTGGTTTCGTAGTCGTCTCTGCGTGTACCCGACACAATCAAGAAACTCACGGTAGGTATGACAAACATAATATATATTATTGTTATCTTCGAACCTCGAGGCAGGTTATAATAATAATAAATATATGGTGATTTATATATTATTATAATGACGTCATATGTTATTATTACAAAAACGATAAACATACGGCGATCAGGTCGCGCGTCGTCGCGGAGCAGCCACCGTCGATCGGTGTGTCGCACGCGGGTATAATATATAATGATGCTAATGCGCGTAGATGATCGGCAGGTGGCGCGGAGGGTTGCTGCTGCCTTGCGTATGGTCTTACACGCGCGCGCGATCCCGCTTATAAGGGTGGGTAGCAGCCGAGGCGGGGGCGGCGTCGCGGCGCCCGTAACGAGAGTGCTCGGCATTATCGACCTGTACGCCATCTGATTTGCCGCCGCGTCGTTTCCCGACGAAACGCAGTCCGCCGCTCATTCACGTTCGCTACGATCCCGTGCCCGAAAAAACACAAAAATACTCACTTACACACACACTGACTCACTTGCACACACATAAACACTTACTCACACACAAACACACAAGCACTTACTTACACACATACGCACAAACCCTTACTTACACCCACACACACGTCGGACGTTATATTATATTATCATAAACATAATATATACAGTGGTCGATCATCCTTACTATCATATCGTCATATCGTCATAAATTATTATTGTTGACGTTGCGAATCGATATACGAGTGTCGATTTTTCTGGTTGATTTCGCTGCCGTCGCGTCCCTCAGTCCGCCGCCGCCGCGTTGCATGTGCTCGGACAGTCCAATGCGGCTTTCACTGTGACCGTAGTCGTAGACTCCCCACTGTGTATCGTCGCCGACGTGACGTTCGGGGTGCTGGAAGGACGGTAGCGAAGCCGAGAACGACGGCGACGACGACGGCAGCTTCGGGGGTGGTGAGGGCGGTGGCGGTGGCGACGACGAAAACGACGACAGAGGCTGCTGCAGCGACTGTTGATCGGTTTGACGAATTCACCGTCATGGACGACGTGACGTCGAAGGCCGATTGACGACCACCGCCAGTAAGTCATGAAACAGAAGAAGAAGAAAGACGAACCACAGCGGCCGCCGTCCAGTACAGACGAACAGCAACAGCAACAGCAGCAGCAGCAGCAGCTATGCAACGGTGCAGGCGAGCCGAGACCCAAGAAATCGGCGCTGAAACGCACGGCGACCGTCGGCGGCTCCAAGGCTGCCAAGTCCGGCAAGCACAAGCGGCACGTGCAGTTCAACGAAAGCCTGAACGTGTTCTTCGAGTCAGACTACGTGATCGTCATCCGGGACGACGACTGCGAGTTCGACGAGGAGGACTTTGACTTTTGGTCGCAGCATCCGTGCAGCTGTGGCGATGCCACGTGTTTCCAGCCGTGGCTGGACGATGACGACGGCCGTGGTATGCCGCCACTCGACCCGTACGAAGAACAACCAGCCACACTCAGTCCACCGGATGGTTACAAGGACGGCTGTCCCAGGCACGTTCCGCCGTCTCTGGATCATCTGAAATACGGTACCTGCACTAATCAATAACCATTGCCAGGAGTTTTTAGCCCTTTTAAAATATAGATAATATATATAAACATTAAATATAGTATACTATATAGTGGTGTACACACTTCACTGTACAGACAATATAGTGTATGTGATTAATGACCATTTAAAATTGTATTGAAGTTATAAGAATAAATAATAATGTATTTAAAAATATAATATTTAAATATCTTACAAGTATCTCTGTCAGTGTACCTATGCGTTTAGGAGATAATCATAATCTTAAGCTCCTCGTTAGAGTAATAAAAAAAACCATACATCATCTAACACAATTAAACCTTACTGTGGCAGTTGTCTATATGCGGAAACAGTGGCTTGGTGAATGGGGTTTTATGACGCCTAGCGTCATGGTGAATTTTTTTTTTTTGGGGTGGGGTGGTTGGGTACATTATGGTAACCACTAACATACAAACAAAAATTAAATATTTACAGTTCCATAATATTATATGTATTATATATTATATTAAGGGGAAAAAGAAGGGGTAGTACTGAAATATATGCTGGGCATCAAGATTTATAAATGTTCACCACGCCACTGTGCGGAAATGCGGAATGTAATATGAAAAATAATCGTTTTTAAATGTAGTACCTACTAAAATTACTTATACACTCAATAAAATACGAATCGTTGTATAGTTATTGATATTCAAACTACCGACGACCACTGTTTATTATGACCCTATTAGTAACACTGTTCTATTATCAAATAATTATTTTTAGATATTTTGTCTTCAACTATGGAATATAAACCGAAGGCCTGAAGACAATAGTTTTAATTTAATTTCTCTTTAAAAAATTTACAATCGAAATATTATTTATGAAATAAGATTTGTCAAATCAAAATGAATTGTATCCCGAATAAATTTACAAGAATACACATTTTATTAGAATATTTTGTGTCTCAATTGGTTTTTTTTTTTATCATACCAAGTACGAATATTATTTATACAAATTATACCTAATAAGTAATAACTGTTAAGAAGAATTTATTTTCTTATTTCGTTGTTTTTCTTTTCGACGGTTTGATTTTAGACATTCTCAAATCTCAATCAACTTTCTATATTAGATTATTTTAAATAAAAACCTTTCATATTTTAAATCTTGACTATTGAATATATTTAAATGTTATTTTTAAGTCTTTTATTTTCTGAAATCAGCTATTTTAATGATATCTAAAAAACTGTATTTGTATTTTGTAATGTAAATCAGTAAACAGAACTCTTGTAAATATCTGTACAAATATATGTTTTAAATAATCTAGTATTAACATA